TTTTAATGTTACATGGAACTTACCCGCCATGATATTGAATATTATACGATGATCTAAACAGCTCCTAATGCATTATAAACTAGCTTGAACTATGAAAGATTATTAAGCATTTAATATTCGATCCAGCGATAGCCGATACCTTATTTGAATCAACTTTATTTATTTGTTTAGGATCATAACCACTAATAACGTCGTTGTTGTACTCCTAAACGCTTTCGAAATACCAGTCACTCGTCAGTTGCTGGTCACTTTGTTTTACTTTTCAAAACGTTCACATGTTCATTCTGTACAATAGACCTCTGTGCAACCCTCTTTGTTTCTCAAAACGATGACGAAATGTTTTTGAAAAACTAAACTTAAAATCGAATGACTCCGCGTCAAAAACTTTCGGTCGAACTTTAAACAAAATCATTTTTTTCCTAAAAAACTCTCTTTCTCTCCCTAAAAAAGGTAGAAAGCGAAACTTCAAAAATCTTATCTCCGATTCGACTCCCTCGAGCCCGACAGCATCTGATCAAACTTTATAAGGAAAACTATTTTCTCGAAAAAAGTTTTTTTCACTAAAAATGTTCAGGATCATAAACTCTAAAAATCTCACGCCAGATTACAGTTCCCCGACCCCGATTACCTTCGGTCAACCCTTATACGAAAAACTAGCATTTTCCTAAAAAAGTCTTTCTCTATCCTAAAAAAAAGCAAAATACAAAATTTCAAAAAACTAACAACGCCATCGTGCTTCCCGACCCTAGTTACCTTCGGTCAAACCTATCCCTGCAGGATATTGTTTGAGGTTAGTTAAGTTTATGCGTCTACTTTCCTATTTGACGAGCGAACGAGCGACGAACGATGAACGAACGCATTTAGCTCGTTTTTCGTAATACCCTCCTTTCAGTAGAGGGAACGACACCCTCTAAATTCCGTAGATTATGAGCCGTTGCTTTTAATTAAATAATTTTTTTGTATTGATACAGAAATTGATGGTAAGATATGTTCGTATGTCACAGGCAATTCTAAATGAATTTCCTCTTAACCGACGTACCTATTGATGCTGAGATTATTCAGGTCACTCCTAGCTCGGAATGTCTTCTGTTAAGATTTTTATTATTGATAAATAATAAAAAATAACCAATTACGATACCAGATAGTAGAGATAATCTTGTTATCAAGTCTTTTTATTTATTTCAAATCAAAATCAAAACTCCAACTTACTTTCGTAATGCATACACACACATCAGCTATATATTGACCTCTTATAGATAAATTAGAGAAAGAAAGTAGTCGGAGAGAAGAAAACAAGAAGGAGATATATATTCAGGGATACAACTTAAAGTTGAAAAGCTATTTAAGTTTAAATATGAAACAATGAAGGATGATATAAAGCAAGAAAAAAAATTATCTGAGAGTTTAGACCCACAACAGTTTCGATCTTAATATGGGTGTAAATGTTCTTCAATTACGGAGGTACTAACTCTGTCAAAAAGTAGAGAATAACGTTCAGAAATTCCATCAGAATCTAATCGATACACTGGAAATTCAGTTCATAGTAGCCTATCCGAAAAATATCTTACTCATGTGTTGATTCAAAATCAGCCAAATGCGATTCTTGTTTAGATAGTGATGAATGCTGACTTTTAGCGAGGGAATGACAGCTTCTATGTCAATTATTTTTCTATCATTTTTAAATAAAACAATTGTTTCATCGTCTAAATTCGATTGCAACTTTTCCTGTATCACTTTTGTACAACATTGAAATGAGAAAGATTTTTTGAATTTCTTATAGCAATTATATGATTAGAAAATATAATTATGATGAAGATCATGCTATAAAATGCTGTATTTTATAGAACTTACTTAACATCATTGATTTACCACATTTCTCCATAGATCGTATTTTTAAATTTCTTTCAAAGAATTATAAAGAAGAAAGAAGAAGAGATTTGCATGGATATTCGAATGATAAAAAGCAGTTTTAACAATGAAAAATGATTCAAAGTTGCGCTCACAATACTTCAATAGAATGGATAGTTATTTTATCAGAGTTTTTTCAGTATTTATAGTCAGGTAAAAAATCTTGCCCATCAACATTGAGTTTCCAACAGCATGTAATTTCTTATTGAAAAACTAACTTTTAGTGAAACGGTATTTTTAAAAAAGTCTACTTTGAGTAATACATAAGCAGTGCACGAATCTTCACAGTTATTTATCTGGTAGACCATTTTGAGTGCTTCATTTATCATTACTTCGTTTTTCACACAACGCTTATATACGATCCGTTACTACTTTTAAGGGTATGACTTTTTCTTCTAGTAAAAGTACGACCTCTTTGATTGCATAATTGTTCATTGGTTCCTATACATTGACAAATGCTGTATCTATCACCACCGTCAATGACTGATGTGAGTTCGCCACCATGAAAAGTGTGATGTTAGCGATTTGTTGAATGATAATATCAGTCAATTATTATAAAGTTATTTGACTTGTAGCACAGTTATATATCATTATTTTGTTTTTTAGTTTCACTTAAGACAACAAAAAAAAATGAGTTCATCGTATTTAACTATAGGCTCCTTAAGTGCAAGCCTTGGATTATTAATCTATATTGGTATGTATTTAATTAACAAAAATAAAAACATTAAGACCGATTTTTATCTTCATAGGTTTAACTTATATGTTAACTAACTATGGTTTTCGGTTCGATATTGGCTGGTTTCTCTTATCAATTTCACCTTATCAATGGGCATTGATTGGTATTGCATTAGCCGTTTCACTCTCGGTTTTTGGCGCTGCTTTGTAATAAAAATAGTATTTTTTTATTTATTAAAAATAAAATAATTAATTTTTTAATAGAGGTATTTTTGCAACCGGTGTTAGTATATTAGGTGGTGGTGTTAAAGCACCACGTATTCGAACAAAAAATTTGATTTCAATAATTATGTGTGAAGCCGTTGCTATCTATGGTCTCATCATGGCTATTGTTATATCGGGCTCGATTTCGGTAAATCATTAAATTTTCTTTTTCGAAAGATTTTTTTACATATTTATATTTGTAGAGTTACTCAGCGACACGCATGGAAGATTTAGTCCTTAAATATCGTGCTGGCTACAAACTATTTGGCGCTGGTTTAAGTGTGGGTCTATGCAATTTATTTTGTGGCGTTTGTGTTGGCCTTGTTGGATCTGGAGCAGCTTTAGCTGATGCACAAAATTCATCATTATTTGTTCGAATTCTCATCATTGAAATATTTGCTAGTGCAATAGGTTTATTTGGTCTCATTGTTTCTATACTTCAGGTAGAATCTAACTGTTTTTCTTTTAATTATTGAAAATGAATTTTACAAAATGTTTATTTATTCTAGGCAAGCGGATCGAATATGTCCGATTAAACATTATTATCTTCCCATAAATTTATCACGTTCGCATATTTAACGATCATTCTATTTACTTCGATATATTTTTTTTTCGTATCACTGTCGTTCTATTAATGTATAGCCACTTATTTCATTGAAACGGAAAAAAATGGAAACGTGCATTTCATTTGTGTATTTGTCGTTCGTCTGTATGGTTTTCCCAGTGTTAAAAATAAAAGTCAACAAAAACAAATATTAGAATCGCTTTTTTTTTCTTTATTTTTTCTAACCAACAGATAGAAAATATTGTCGATGTTAATAATAATAATAACAAGAGCAGCAACATAGAGAAGCCTAATTGTTGTTTTGTAGGGTTGAAAAAAGAAAAACAAAATAGCTGAGAATAAAAACAAAAAAGCAAAGAAAGATGCGACTACTGTACACAAACACATGTATTTTCCAATACGATCAATTAAAATGAAAGCGAAATGTATAGCCTTGTCCGTTGCCAGAACCGAATGGATTAAAACCTTGAAATGGATTGTGCTGTTGAGCTTGTTCTTCTGCATCTAGTGGATCATCACCAGCATCGAATTTAGCACGTTTTTCTATACAAAAAAAGTATAAAGTAATTTCTATTATTTACGAACTCAAGTACAAACCTTGATCAGTTAACACTTCTTTAGCCGCTGCTATATCAATAAACATTTTTTCGGCTTTTTTCTTATCTTCGCCTTCATATTTATCCGGATGCCATTTAATTGCAAGTTTTCTATATGCTTTTAAAATTTCGGCTTTATTCGCTGATCTTCTGACACCTAATATTTTATAATAGTCGCGTTTTTTCGATTGTTTTATCAGTTTTTGTACACGTTTTATTCCATCATTGACACGATTTGAATCTTCTGTGTCATGCGCACGTTGAAAATCAGCTAACGCTAAATCATACTCTTCATTTAATATATATGCTTCAGCACGACTGACTAACAATTCAGCGTCGGATGTATGATAGGTATCAAGAACTTCTGTACATTTTGTAATTGTATCTTTAGCTGGCGATTTTCCACGTGACATACAAGTACATAGTGACGAATGAGCACGATATATAAATGCATGTGATGATGGATCTGATGAAAGTTTAAGAACTTGATTCGCTTTATCAAGACATTCTTTCCAATTCGACTGGCTTATTCCATCACGAATAGATTCAAGTTGTTTAGCTAGTTTTTTAACTTTAGTATAATGTGAATGACATTCTTTATGATCAGCGTCTAATTTAAGGCATTCACGAATATTACTACAAAAAAAAGCGAGAATAATTATATTTAAAAGGCCATGATACATCAAGCAAGTAATAGATTACATACGTTAAACTATCATCTGCATCACCCATCGTATAAAGTAATTGACTTATTTTAAGAAATGCTTGAGTATTATCCGGTATAAGTTTTGCGGTAGCTTTTAAATCACTAACTGCTTTAGGGTAATCACCCGATTTTAAATAGCTGTCTGCACGCTGTTCACGTAAAGTAATTGCCCATGGGCAATGCTAGAAAAAGAATCGATACAAACAAAAAAATTAATGATTCATAACAAAAGAAAAATAGATTCATACCTCAATTATTGCTGAAAGTAATTCAATATTTTTAGTGTAATCTTGTTTGGCATACGCATTCTTAGCTTCTTTAACTGTTTGAATTAGTTTTGTAGTTATTTCGAATTGGCTACGTGCTTCACTATTTGAGGCATCTGATGTTAACTAAAATACAAAAATAAAATCAATCATAAAAAAAATCATCAATAATGTTTATCTACATACAATATTTTCAAAATCGAGTTTTGCTTCATCGAAATCTCCTTGTTTTAATAATAAATTTCCACGTTGCATACGAGCCTTAAAAAAATGAAATAGATCATCTAATAGATATATATATATATTAAGAAACTTACAGCAAAAAAATCTGGTTTCAATTCAATAACTTTATTTAAATCAGGTAATGCGGATTTAGATTTCCCCATACCCAAGTATACAGCGGCTCGTCGAAAATATGCAACATAATTTTTCGGATCACCATCTTAAAATAAAAGCATTCCGTTTTATTTAACAGATTATTCGTATTCATAATATCATACCGATTGCTAAGTGGAATTCTGATAGAGCATCTACTAATTGACCAGTTGCCAAATATTTCTTTCCTTTCTCTAAATGATCATCGACACTTCCACCTGCATCTCCGATAGCACCTACAAATAACAATAGATCGATCAACGGTTTCCTTTCAATCGAAAAAGCAATTACCATTTATGAAAAAATCTGACAAGATAATAAGTATAAATAAATGAAATAGCATATTAGTACACCGAGATATGAAAAAATTGTCGATTTTGGAATGTTAATTTCATACCATGATAATAAAACGCGATTTAAAGGAAGGTGGCAGAGTATTGGTATAATGCACTGGCAAACGTTGAAAAAACTGACTGGATAAGGACGAAACCAATGATTGTTAGACAAGTGAGACCTACGAAGACTATTGAAATGGATTTTTTTGAATTTGATAATTAAAAAAAAGTACAGAAATACTTTTAGAAAATGTATATTTTAGAAATAGAAAAGAATTCTTCATTAAAACTTTATGCGACCTCTATTTGGCAGAGATAAAAAGAATATGCAGACGTAGGTCTTCGTTTATCGTTGTTTGAGTTCTATTTTTTTTTCATTTCATTTCGTTTGAGTGAATACAAATTGCGGGATGATGATAAAAACTTCGAGGTGAAACGTCTGATGCACTATTTTTATCTAGTCTTCAAAGTTCACTGACCGAGTATTGTATTTCAAATGAAGTCAGAGTATCTCGCAAAAAAATCTATATTGCATATTGACTCAAGCTTAGCATATTTTTTTCTCTTTTTTCTCTCGTTCTCTCTTTTTCTTTTTTGGATGACATCAAACCCGAACATAAATCGTCAAGAGCAGTATAATAGGCGGGATCGAAATGACGGCAATACTTCAGACGATAGTCTTCTATTAATGGCTAACGACGGCGAAGACAAAACACCTCTATTAAATGATATTGATCACGAAGAAGGCATCGAAGCAGCAATTATGTCGAATGCGTCATTGACACGGTCCACCCATTGTCACGTGCCAGATGATAAGTTTGATTATGGAGCAAGAAATCGTCTTATTCTTGTACTAATTATCTGTATTGTTTTTATGGTCATTGAAATTGTTGGTATGTTTGCAATTAAAAGATAAGTAAGAAAAACAGTTACGTGCATTTTTATTTTTTTGTATAGGAGGTATTATTTCGAATTCAACAGCTGTTATAACAGACGCAGCTCATATGGCGATTGATGTTGCTAGTTTTCTGATATCACTAACAGCAATGTTTCTTGCAACAAAACGACCTACAAAAAGACTATCATTTGGTTATATTCGAGCAGGTTTAAATATAGATTCAATGAAATACTCTACATTATTCTAAGTTATTTATTCCCCGTTCTTTTTTAGAGGTACTTGGTGCTCTTCTAAGTGTGTTAGCAATATGGTTAGTTACTGGTGTTCTTGTTTATATGGCGATTGAACGTTGTATCAATCAAAAGTTCGAAGTAAAACCATTGGAAATGATTATTGTTGCATCATGTGGTGTCGTATTCAATATCGTGTAGGTATGAACTATGATTTAATTATTATTAAGAACTAAAAATTTCTATATTTATAGAATGTTTTTTGTTTTACATGCTGATGTATGTGGAACATCATTGCCTCATGGACATTCACATGGACACAATCATAGTCATTCACATGGACATGATCATGATCACTCCAGTGATGATACTCTGGAAAATGTAGACACCATGATTAATTCTTCGCCGTTAGTCGCTAATATTGTGACTGGACAACGTCGAGAGCGAGCTAAGAAAACAACAAAAAATATTAATGTACGGGCGGCTATTATACATGTTATTGGAGATTTTGTTCAAAGTGTTGGCGTCCTTTGTGCGGCAATACTTATTAAATTTAAAGTATATTCAAAACAAAAATTGATTCTGTTCATTTAATTTATTTTATTATTTCAGCCGGAATATAAATTAGCTGATCCTATCTGTACCTTTATATTCTCCGTCCTTGTTCTTTTTACGACAATTACAATCATGCGTGATATTATATTTGTTCTTATGGAAGGTTAGGTTTTTTGATTCAAATTTTTTTTGCTCATTTTGTCTATGATTTGTTTTTGAATATCAGCTGTTCCACCACATGTTAATTATTCACGAGTAGTTGATGATCTTCTTCGTATACCTGGTGTAAGAAATGCACATAGTTTGCATATATGGTCATTATCAATGCAGCGAGCTGCTCTCTCGGTTCATGTTGCAATTAGTAAGTCTCCTTTCAACTATAATGACATATTTTTCCATCATTCTTACTCCATCATAGATCCTGATATAGATCCTTTGACAGTGTTGTATCAAGCTCAAGAAATGCTTCGTAATACGCATTCAATCGTACGAACAACAATACAAATTGAACATTATGACGAACATGTGATAAGTTCGTGTGAAGATTGTCGTCGGCCTGACATGTGAAAAAGCAGCAAAGAAGCATAATAATTTGTTTGGGTGACGAAAATTGTATAGATATAAGTTAATCGACAATTCTTTCTTGATCGTGTCACATGCTGCAATAATAATTTTCTTTATTCAGTATGCTACACTATTTTTTGATGATAGCTATCTATGAATTCAGATGCGATTTGAAAACGGTAATCGATGTGTTATAGTGATTTTTTTTCTATTTAAAGTAATAATCAAAACTATTGACTCTCCGAAAGACAATTCAATCATCATGCTTTTATTTATTGTAAATACTAATTACGTCTCTGAAAAACAAAAGCACAAGTTTAGTGCACTTATTGAGGCTTGCAATCTATAAGAAATAGAAATTTGTCGTCAATGAAATATGATCATGTAGATAATAAAGGCAATAAAAAAGTTACAAGATTAATTGCCGAGTGTATAACTTACAAAAGAAAAATATATCAAATCAAATGTTTTTCAAGCGTCTGTAATTTACATGCTTCAAACGAGCGATAAGCGTATCGAACAGAGTGGCCAGATCTTCTGAAAACTAGGGAAAATTTCTGAACTTTGAACAGATTTCTGATTTTTTCTGAATTTGGAATATTTTCAGATCGTTGCTGTGTCAGTGAAATTAGGTACGATTATAACCCATTACTATAATAAATCAATAGTGTTTCATCAATATTCTGTATTATAATCATCTTTTATATTCCGCATTCGAATTCTGGAGTAAAATTGATTTTCGGTTATATGAAGCATTCATAGTTCGATTATCGTAATCCAGTAATATAAAACCAGATAATGCTTAACTTAAAATAAACGTGATTGGAAATAATTCTTGAGAAGATTTTTATTAGCATATGTTATCTTAAACAAACTTCCTAGAGCAAGTTCCAAAAGTTACGAAATATGAATAACCATACCGAGATGATGAAATTTAACGTTTTTTTTCTCGTTGAATTTCTTAATCTAGCGAAACATGGAATAATACCGATGTGGTCAAAATCGCGTCACTTTTGCCGATTAATCACGATTTTTAACCAAATGGCGATTAATCGCGATTTTATTTGCTGTGTTATCATATTAATCTCACAATTAATCGCCGATTTTTTCCTATTGTCGCTATGGCAACACAGCAAATAAAATCGCGATTAATCGCCATTTGGTTAAAAATCGTGATTAATCGGCAAAAGTGACGCGATTTTGATGACATGGGTACTTGCAGTCGAAACTTGTGCATTTTCTTATACATAATCATGACATGATTGATTTTTATATAGGGCACTAATCAGCTTGCACAAGTAATAGAGTCCTGCGAGAACGACTTTTTCGGTTCCCGTTCCCGTTTTCCATTCCCGTAAGAAATTTGTTTTTTTCCCGTTTCCGTTTCCCGTTCCCGCAAGAGCTTCATACCTTCTATTAATATTTCATTTTCTCCATCCGAATTTGACAGATACGTTGAAGACCAGAAAAACTAGACAAATACATGAATGTTTTAATATATTGGAATAATAATAAATTAGTTTATCCTACATTGGCTACAATAGCTCAACGTGTACTACCCAGGTTGATCAAAATGGACTCGTTTACGGTCTGTTTGTCGACGGTAAACGATGTCAAAACGGTATCTTTACGACAGTAAATAGGCCATATTTGCCCGTAATACCTGGCGCAGCAATACGGCACCGTAAACGGGACTGAATTTTCATGGTTTACGGCTGTTTGTGCTCGGTACTCTCGTGATCATACGTTTCGTATGACTGCGCCAGATATTACGGCAAAATTTCGCCCGTAAAATAGTCGTAAAGTAACCGTCAATGGCCGTATACGGATCGTACTGTTTGACCTGGGTATGTATTCCGGTAACTAATACATCGGTAGAACGTCTTTTTTCTGACAGTGGAAATACAATAACAATTCGTCGTACACGTTTGAAAACAAGTAAAGTAAATCAATTATAATTTATACGTCAAAACTTATCAATATTACGAGAGTTGTTTTCACCCTCAGTTGAACAGTTAAGAAAAAGAGCAACTAGTTGCACATCGACAAAAAAAGCAAGAGATTCAAAAGAAGAAGATGATATTACTATGCTGAAGGATGATCTTGATGATTGCACTTTCGATGATGATAATGTGAAAGAAAATGACGACTATCATAATGTATGATCTAATGAACAACGAATGAATTTGTGTATTTTTTGTTGATAGGTATTTGCTATTATTTTTTGTTAATGATATACTTAAATAATTGTTGAAAATAAAAGGCTGTTACATGAATAAATTTTAGTGCATATAGAAATAGTACAAATAGATTTTCTGGAACGGGAATTCCCGTTTCCGATGCCCACGGGAAACGGGACGGGAAAAAGTCGTTCCCGCAGGACTCTAACAAGTAAACATGGCTTAAAGCCAGGGTTGCCACCTCTTCCGCTTTTTCAATTTTTTTCCGCTATTTTTCCGCTGTTCCGCTTTTTCGTATAAAACGTGTTGCATATCAAACCTACGTACAGAATAATATTTGATATTATTGAATCAATTCTTATTGTTCACAAATACCGTGAGCCATAATTCTTTTATGTTTTGAAACTGATAAAATAAAAAGAAATCCAATAAATATGAAAAAAAATGCCTAATATTCTCAGAAGCACCACAAATCTGCAACAATATAAGCTTCCGCTTTTTTCCCCGCTTTTTTTCCCACTTTTTCTGTTTTTCTTTCCGCTATTTTCCGCTTTTTGAATTTCATCAGGTGGCAACCCTGCTTAAAACTATTTTCATTTGAGAGAAAAAATGTAGAAACTTTTGGTTCATTCACATGTCGCTAGACTCGTTCATCAATCTTTTGCTTTCCTTTAAGTAGGTCGAAAATTTCAAAGGGATTTTTGTAAACAATGTTAATAAAAATTTCTAGAAAAACTATAGGTTTAAATTTTGTGTAACAGCGATTGATTACAATTTCTTGTCGAGTTCCCTGTTAGTTTGTCTAATAGTGTGTATTGTTAAAAATGTGAATCTGATACGAGTCTAATTCTCAATTTTGCCTTCATCACATAGAGACATACCAGAGCGAAGATGTTTTTCGTTAGGAATTGACGATCACTTGAATTTCACTAACCTTACCACATTTAAAAAAAAAGAAGTATTCCGAAAAGAATTACAATTAGTTTAGACTGCAGTCTAATAAAAATCGTTTTTAAGACTGAACAAAAAAAAAGCAAATGGATAGGACAGTTTATCGGCGAACGATTTAATTACAACTATTGATGAACGTGTCAATCTTGTGTGCAAACTTGGAATGCATTTAACTACGAACACACTTTTGTACAATCATTAAAATTGGCGCGCTCTCCAATCGTCACTCACCTTCACATTCAGATAGGTAAGCGTTTTCATCAAAATATTAGTCGTACAATATTTTTGAAATATAATAGTCAGTCTCTATAAATTAGATAATTTCGATCACTGTCGTCTACAATAATTGCAAATATCCTTTTGATGATCTTAATCTATGTTGTTCCTTTTCAATAGTTGACGAGATAATATTTCAATGTATTTTCGGTGATTGATACATCTGATTCATGTTTTAAATACTTCCTCGAAATAATAAATTACAATAATTATTCCTTTATTATTTTTGAACAAAATAGAATCAATTAGATGCAAAAAGAAAAAGGGCGAAGCATGATAATTATCAGTTGCGTTTTGTTTATTGAGTAGTACTAGTTAGTAATAGTATTATCGTTGATAGACAAAACAACCGTTTTCTTTTGCAACTTCCGTTCATATATTCATATGTAGCTGAATTAGTGAATCTGTAGATACAAAAGGAAAATGCAATTTGAAAGAAAAAAAAACAAAGCCACGAATTTAAAATCATAACAAAACGTAAACTTGACTCATTCAAATTTAGTTGTACCGCGTCGTGAGGATTTTTTAATTTTGTCTCTTGCTCGTCTTGCATGAATTTTAATTAATTGTTTTTGATCCCGATAAAGTTCATGTAAGGAATCACCTTGTGGTGCTCGTTGAATAAAACCACGTTTCAGAAATGTGCGTGAAATATATGTTGTTACGCCTAATGAGAATGCATAACGAACTGGTGTTAAAAATTTATAAAGCAATAATACTGTTGCTAACAATCGAACACGTTCTCCAGTCCAATAATCTTTTAATTTCTTCTGAACATTTTCAGAAATAAATGGGATTCTTGATAATATTCCAGAAATACTAAATTCATTCATACGACGTATAAATGATGAACGTCGTTCCTCAGTAATGACATTTATATGTGTAAGACCATTCATGAGATACATTCCTAGAAAAATGATTTGAATCATACATAATACAAGCAGATATTTTTCATACCAAGATCAAACCCATTGAAATGAAGTACAAGGAGACCTGAAAACCAGCCGAATGATGAAACAAAATGAACAGCTAATAGAATTTTTCCATATTTTGCATATGCATAACGAAAACGTGCAAATATATTAGACTGAGATGGAATAGGTTTCGGTATGCTTGAATCAATGAGTGGTCGATTTGGAATATAATCAGGTGGATGACGTGGATTGACTGGAGGTTGTGGAAGAGACTGAGGTAAACTTTTTTTAATTTTAACAAAAGGTGAAAAAGAAGACAATCGTTGAGGAGTTGAAGACTGTATTGGAATAAGTGATCGCTGTCTAATCAGTATAGGACATACACCGATCAGAGACCGAGACGTTAAACGACACAAATGCCACATTTAATCTTAAACAAAAGTGAGGAAGAAAAAGAAATTTCAATGCGAGTTACATCATAGTATACGCCTACTTCATTATCTTTATCAAATATTATAATCTCTACCAACGAAATAATATGAAACATATTCAACCCATTTACATACTGCCTCATCGCTTTAAAAGATATCTTTCTTCATTCATTCATTCATTCTATACTCGAATTCTGATAATTCAACATCTCAGAATATAATAAGAGAAATTATCAAAAATACAATAATTCCTTTTTAGGAGCGAAAAAAACATGAAATAAACATCAGCAAATTTTTCTTTGTTTGAAGACAGGAAAAAAACACTTATACATAGACATTAAGAAATATTTGAGGATAATAATAACGATGGATTAACAAGCTGTGTACCAAACAGTTCTGTTTCATTGGAAAACAAGGCTTGTGGTTGATTATTTGCTAATGATGCTGATAAGGATATTAATCCTAAATGATTTTTATGTCGTTTAGAACGTGTTGTTGTTGAATTCGGATCATCAGCTTCGATTGAAGCTGTCGAAGAGTCAGAATTTGTACGTTGTCTCTCAGTTTTTACAGCTGGCAGAGTAGAAATCAATGTTGATACTGGTTGCTCAGCAGGCGATTCATTGGATCCATCAGTTGGACTATCTTCATGAGCATCTTGTCGTAAAATTTCATCTAATTCAAATATCGGACGCATATAAACAGCTATTTGTTTCAAACGTTGTTGATACCTTTTTAAGTAAAAATCGATTAAGATTGGTCTTAAATGAAATTTATCTTATTCAAAAGCCTCTAGTTATTGAAATTGACCTCGATGAAAACTCTAACTTCACTTCGACAATCAAAGTAAAACAATGAAATATCTTACGTGGCTTCAAATGTTTGTTGAAGATGTTCAAAATAATGTTTTCGCTCTAATGTGGCCGATTGTTGTGCACGTAGTTCACGGCGTGTACCTAATTTATTGATGGTAGCTGCGCGAGCATCATATTCAAGTAGATTTGCACGTTTTTGTTTCGCTTCAATCAAACGTAAATCACTTTGATCAAGTTCATGGCGCAGCTGCTTGATTTGCTCATTTAGCTGTTGAGTTTTCGAAGCGTAACAAAGTTGTTCAAGTTCATCCATTTGATACGAAGATTTTAAAAGATGATGTGAATGTTCAATTGAATAAAGTAAAGCTAATAATTTTTCTATAGTAGCATTGTTCTCATCCGAATTCGAGGGTAAGTCATGTACAACTTTATTAAATGTTTTCATTAATGATAATATACGTCGATCATCAATACCTTGATCACCTTCATAAAGAAGACGTGAACGTATTATATCATCTTCTGTTATATCATGATGACGTTGAGACTAAAATTATACTTTATTATTAGTTCGAGAACAAAATTAATAGAGAAAACAACGGGGAAACGACGGACTTTAAACTTGAAGTAATCTCGAGCTACTTCCAATGGTAAAATTCGAAGAATTTTTCGACTTCAAATTTACCTGAGGTTACATCAAAGTTGCATAGCTACTCGTTCTTGTTTCGGACTACTTGAGTAGTATTTTTAGTTTCTTAAAGCATGTACTTTGACCTACTTTTCTACTTCAAGTCCGCCGTTTCCCCCTTGAGAGAAAATCAAAATTTCTCTAAACAACAATTAAAATACATCATTTGTTTTAATTAAAAGATCTATCTCTATGTCCATTCGTAACAGATAACTCTAATTATATGTTTAAAAATTTCCATAAGGAAAAAAATACCCGATATATTTATTGTTGCTTAGAAAGATTTAAGTTTTCTATACAATATAAACCTTAGGCTTTTCTGGAATAGGCTCTTTTTTTATTTGTTTCGATTGTGTAGAAGACGAAGATGATGGTATTGGTTGTTGTACAAGTTGTACTTTTCGTTTCAACGATGAAACACTACTAGAAGATTTCGACGTCATTTTGTATGTAAATTTTATCTAAAAGTTGTGAAGAAAACAAGAAAAAGGTTATTATGAAAGATCATGGTATCGATATGTAAATGTAAAATAAATTGCTTAAACAACGTGAATACCAGCAGTTCGGCCTTGAGCACGTTTAATACTACTAACAAACGAAAGAAGTGTTGCAGTACCAGTAACAGCACCAATTTCAGCAGGATTACTTCGAACAGTTTTCGTATGAAATTTTACTTTATCGTTTTCATTAACGATTGTTTCTGGTCCCGACAATTCAATTTCAACAATGTGCCGGTCACGTAACGATGTATCAGCAATTAAACATCCTTGAACACGATCAAAACCAAGATTACTAGCAACGGTTGCACCAACAGCCATTGTATTAACATTATTTGGTGCTAATCGACATAATTCACGAACTGGCCCTGAATAAATGACGATTTCTCCTGGTTGATCGCCAAGTTTTATTCGTTGTTCCATTAACTTGGAATTTAATGGTTCATTAAGTTTGTAAGAATCCGGATGTTTCTTCATGGTTATACTTAATGAACATAGAGTATTACGTTCATTCATTTTACCTATATCTTCTGCACCCCAAAAAGCACCAGTGCCTATGTAAACGACATGACCGGATTCAATCGTTTTTTTTCTTAATGAATTTTCAATCGATTCATTAGCAAGAGCTGTTGGCGATCCAATAAATAGATCGCATGCATCGAGTATTTTCTCAGCATATTCTTCAATTATATTCGGATGTGCAACTTCAATAACTAAATCTGGTGAGCGTTGTAAACCTTCTTCTATTGTTTCTACAATTAATTCTTGATTAAGTTCTTTATCAAATGTTGAGAAAATATCTTTTGATCGATTCCAAATAAAAACTAAATCAAAATCATATATTGCTTTATTACGTTCATTTTCAATATGTCGATAAATAAATTGTCCCAGATGACCAAAGCCAACGATACCAATACGTAATGGTTTTGATTTGGTATTGTACTGCATTAATGAATGAGAATGATTAGGGAGTGAAGTACAACAAGGAATCTGATACGATTGAATGAGCAACGAAAAAAAGAAGAAGATCGCAAAGAAAAATAGAATGATTGAATAGTTAGCTATTCTTTCTGATGAAATAGTTGGTTTCTAGTTTTCAAGCAATCGGAAAATAGAACGCTTATTTTTTTAACTAATAACAACAATGCTGGTTAACACCCTCTATCGATTGTGTGTAGACATCATTGGTTAAAGTTTTCTTTGGTTAAATCTTACTACTCATCGACAGTTGCTTCTCATTGAAAATTTGTGGTCGTTCTAACCAAAAATTGTTTGAAAAATAAATGCATTAGAACTTTCATCTTCAAAGAACAAAACATGTAAGATTTTAATATAGGAAAAAAAATCGCTTTTTTTCACGATTTTGTATTATTTGAAGGCCACCACCTCGTTTTACTGGTCATCATCCTCATTTTCCTCAACATCATCATGCAAATCCGACTGGACAAACATCGAACGCAGTTAATTCATCCATCGTACCTATTCAACCTGGTAAATTTATTAAACTATTTTTTATTGATGTTCAAAATTTTGACTGTTTTTTTTTTCTTCAATTAAAGGTGAAATCGGTTTCGATGGGAAAATGTTGCGTAAAGCAATGGCTCGTAAAACAGTCGATTATAATCCATCCATTATACGTTATCTTGAAGTAAAAATTTTCATTCATTATTCTATAATTTTAAATTCTATTTTAGAATTCTATTTGGCAACGAAATATAACCGATGGACGATCTTTACAGCCTGATGTTCTCTATATTCCACATGTAAACTAACTGTTCATTATTATTTCATTGTAAGCATGTGTTATTTTTTCCAGCTTGTTCCACCTCATGCTCTTCTATCGGATCCAGTTAATTGTGTAATGACGAAGTTTATTCGACCAGCAACAAATAAAGTTCGATGTCCAATCTTTTGTGTTTGTGTATGTTGATGAATTCGATTTTGTTTGTTTTGTTGAATACTTTGAAAATTTCAGTGGACACCCGATGGACGTCGTTTGATAACAGGTGCATCGAGCGGAGAATTTACATTATGGAACGGACTAACATTTAATTTTGAAACTATATTACAAGTAGATATTTAAAAAAGTAAAAAAGAAATTTTAAAGTGATTTTTTGAATTAAGGCACACGATTCTGCAGTACGTGCAATGATCTGGTCGAACAATGAACAATGGATGTTAACGGGTGATCATAATGGCTTTGTTAAATATTGGCAATCCAATATGAATAATGTTAAAGTTTATCAAGCACATAATGATCCTGTTAGAGGTTTAACGTAAGTTATATTCGATTTTTCAATCCTGGAGTATTAATATATAGTATTGAATTGCCATTGGAAAATGCGTACGATAAATAATGTAGTCATTTGCTTGCGTTTCTAAATTACAAGAGCTTATTACGACAATAAAAAAAATGTAATAACCTACTGCAATTGTTGAATAAGACTGATTGTATGTTCTCTTAAACACAGGATCATTCACCTTCACTGATGTATGATAGAATACGTCAATAATAAGACATCTTTAGTACATTTGTAGACGAGGATGTAGTCAGTAATACCGAGTATGTTATAAAGATAAAAAACGACTATACATCCGTAGCCTAGCTAATAAAAATCCAATACGGTGACATAGTTCGCTGAGATACTCAAATAATTGATGCTGTATACTGCCGTTACGTGCAGTTTGCAGTCATCGATAACTGCCGATTAACCTGTCGTAGATCCAATATTACACCTGTATTTTATCGTGTTATATACAGTAATAGATTATCTCTAACGAAAGGCAAAAATACTATCTGAAAGAACGATTTGCGACTTTGTTGATGTGGCTTTGTGGGTTTTTAGAGTATGATGACATTGTCGATGAATCATTAGATACTTTAAAAAGTTGGAAAACCAAGTATAGTTCTTACTGTGATTTCTATTGACTATTTGTCTTCGATGAATATTAAGATTGAGCGTATATACCTAAAATTTCATCGTGTGATTTTGAATATTGATCATAAAGAATAATCCTATAGATTAGGATGTATCATCCGGTAATAGGATCTGAAGGGTAACTTTTAAATATTATAAAATTATTAAATATTCCTTTTTTGTTTATAGATTTTCACCCAATGATACCAAATTTGCTAGCTGTTCCGACGATAGTTTTATTCGTATATTTGATTTCATGACAGGCACTGAAGAACGTGAATTACGAGGTTTGTCTATTATATTTTATATTCGACTATCGACTAGAAAAATCTACTAGGGCATGGATCTGATGTTAAATGTGTTGATTGGCATCCACATAAGGGTATACTTGTTTCTGGTAGCAAAGATTCTCAACAACCAATTATTCTCTGGGATCCAAAAAGTGGAAAGAAATTAGCAACACTGTAAATTATTTATTTTCTTTCTATTGAGTTTAAACGATAACATAAACTGACTATTTTAATTTTTTTGTAAATAAACCAGGCATGCGCATAAAAATACATGTATGGCAGTGAAATGGAATCGTCATAATGGAAATTGGCTATTATCTGCATCCCGTGATCATTTTTGTAAAGTGTTTGATATAAGAAATCTCAAAGAAGAACTACAATGTTTTCGTGGGCACAAAAAAGAAGCATGCAGTAAGCTCTTTTTTATCATTTACTACTACGGTTTGCAAATAAACGAAAACATAATAAAAATCTGTATTCGCTTAATATTGTCTCTTTTTGAAAATAAAATAAAAAATTTTCTTCAACTAATAAATCTCAACAAAACAGAACCCAATGCTCTAAATCTTGTCGTGTTGATTTATTTGTTTTTTTTCATCATAAATGAAAAAATTGATGTTCAAGAAGAGTTCGTTTCTTTTTTTAAATTAATTATTCGTCATTTAGCTTTGGCATGGCATCCCATACATGAACGACTTTTTTCGAGTGGAGGATCAGATGGTTCAATTTATTTCTGGCTTGTCGGGTAAGGATTACTGCTAAGAAAAATGTCAATTCATGGTTGATCTGTTTAACATTAACCAAAGAATGAAAGCTATTCAGATATACATATAAATATACGAAGTTGATTAATGCGTAATGAAATTATTTAACTAAACTAGCAGAAAAAAAAATATATATATATATGAAAATTGTGATCTAAGCGAATAAAAGAACAATTTCGTTGTGATCATGATCGACAAAGAGCGATTCGTTTCGGACATAAAAATTTTTATGAACGGAAGTTTTTCTTTGACTAAACTCAAATTAGTTTTGTTTTAATAGAACGGGAAAAGAATTAGCTGGTATGGACGATGCACACGAAGGTATGATATGGGATATGTCATGGCATCCTCTTGGTCATATGCTTGTTAGTGGTTCAAATGATCATACAACGTTTGTATTCATGTTTGTGTCTGGCTCTAATTTAACCGGTCGTGTTAATGTTTAGGCGTTTTTGGACACGTAATCGATCTGGTGATACTGTACTTGAACGAAGTGAAGAAGGCTTATTAATGCAAGCCGCACGTCTTGAACAATTACATCGTGAAGAATTAGAACATGAACGTTCAATAGAAATGAATATGCCTGGCTTAGGTTTCGAAGGTGGTTTACTTGAACAATTACAACAACAGCAACAACAAGGTAAATTCATATTTTAAAACAAAGACGATCAATTTTAGACTTCGCGAAAAACAAAATCTATTTATTTAGAAGAAATAAGCAATCAACGTGATGTTGGCATACCTGGTCTAGAGTTTTCGAATGATGACGAAGAAAGTCGACGAAAACGTGTATGCTTGCTTTCTTATTTATTTTTGATAAAATTATAGGAATTGCTTTTTTTCTACAGGCACCATTTGCCAAACCTGTACCAAAGACATTCGAAAAAGCATGGCGTTCTGTTGATGCATTTGCAGCTGATACAAATAATAGCAATAGAATCAGTAAGTTTTCTCTTTTTCTTGATATATCCTAGTCAAAATATCTTCTATAGCTTTATTGAAATTTGAAATAAAAGAGCACGTCTTATTTGAGATTATAGACACTCCTGACACTGTCTATTGTTCGAAGAGAGACAAAGGGAATGTTACAGTACTATCGTTCAAAATTGCAGTTATGAAAGCAGAAAAATTAAGAATTGGCTTTAATCCATTGCGACATTGCTATCACCTAAAATAAAGTGGCTAGATCAGTACTACCACAATTTTATTTTTACATAATCATTCTAGTCTGTACGACTGAGTTCGCATGTTTCTAACTAAAGTTGTTAAGTAAATCATATCGTAAGTAGTATACTAAGTATTCCATCGCCGTAAAGAAGACTTTGACTCTATGAAAAGTTTGGCTCTATTCTTCAACATTAGTAAGATAGATTTTAATTTTTTCATAAATATCAGTCCTAGCTTTTAATATATAATAAAATTATGTATAAATACATTTTAGATCCACACGAATCCAATGATCCATATTTTGTAAGTATTTAGAATCTTGATATAATTCGTTTTCTTATATTATGATATTGATAAATAATTTTAGTCTCAACCATCAGGAAATTTTTCACATGGAGCATCATCTATGCATGACGATTATTCTCGAAATAATGGACCATCAGATTTTGATGCGCGTGGCGGTGGTGGTCCACCAATGAAACGGCCACGTCATGATGTGTTGGTCGATGGTCACTGGTCTAATGCACCAACAGATAGGCGAGGTATCGGTTTTTCACCGATGCCTCCTCAAGGATCTCATTGGCGACAGCATACAAATGATATGCCGACAAGTTCCAGCAATATATTAGATGAAACGCTAGGCGAAACGCTAACTGCTGCACAGCAAGGTGTTTCGCCATTTTTTCAAAATGCCACTGACGAAGAATTACGAGGATTCAATCAAACGCTAAGAATAATTCAAAAATGATTATTGCATCTGTATTTATAGCTGAGAGAGAGAGAGAGAGAGAGAGTACGTGTGTCTTTGTTCAATGATTTATTTTTGTTGTTATACTGTTTGTATACGTAATATGAAAAGAGACGACATTAATCTTTGTTTTTCTTCTTCTTTTATTCAATGTAATTATTGAGCAGAATGAAAATAAAATCAGATTTCTTTCTTTATTATTTCTTTTTAAAAATTTCTTGAATTAAGATTTCTTAGACAAATGAATATTCATCGAATATTATTTTTATCACATCTGAGTCGAAAATTTTATACTAGAGTTTCTACTCTTCGTTATTCATCATCACCGAATGTAACCGTTAAAGTCAGTCACGTCGATGGTACACCATCGATTCGTCTTATTGGTATCAATCGTCCATCGAAAAGAAATTGTGTTAATCATTCCACAGCACTTCAACTTTTGTCAGCTTTTCAACAATTTGAAAATGATGATACAGCTCGTTTGGCTATTCTCTATGGCGAAGGTGGTTCAGCATTTTGTGCTGGCTATGATTTAAGCGAAGTTGCTTCAGCAAATATTTCCCTGCCGATGAAGTATAATAAAGATGAACCTGGCCCGATGGGACCAAGTCGTATGAGTTTGCAAAAACCATTAATAGCTGCTGTTGCCGGGCCATGTGTTGCTGGTGGTCTCGAATTATCTCTTCTAGCTGATATGCGTGTTGGTGAAGAATCATCAAAATATGGTGTATTATGTCGACGTTTTGGTGTTCCACTTATTGATGGCGGTACTGTTCGTTTACCACATCTTATTGGTCTTTCGCGTGCACTTGATTTAATTCTAACTGGTCGAACAGTACATGCTCAAGAAGCATTTAATATTGGATTAATTAATCGTTTGGTACCTGATGGTCAATGTTTGGAAGAAGCAATTCGACTAGCAAAAGATATACTTCGATTTCCATACGAATGTATGAATACTGATCGAATATCAGCTTATTTTTCTGTATCAAATACGATTGATGATAGTCTTAAACAAGAATATGAACAAGGAATAAAATTAATCGAACGTGTATCAATGCCAGGTGCAAAACATTTCATAGAAGAAAAACAAGGACGAGGTGGAAAATATGATGATATCAAATGAGAGACATCGTTTGCTTGTTTTGTTTTGTTTTAAAATTATTTATTAGTAAAATTTTAAAAATTACATCTATAAAACTGATAGTTAGTTACATTAAAAAAAAACGACGAAACAAATCTGATTTATTTTTAAAAATATGCATCGAGTTTGCAAGCTAAATGTTTTATAAGACGATAATGAGTTCTTGGCCCAACATCAATTGTATTTCCTACATCTTTCCATACGAAGCGTGGCTGTTCAAGACGTTCAAGTTGTTCATGATGAAGACATGGTATACACGATGTTAGTCGATGATCATAATCAAATAAATATTCAATTGATAATTCAATCCAAGCATTATCTGTATTGCGAGCATCATCAAAATAAGCACCTTTCCATGGTATGGGCTTTTGTTCAAATAAATAATTTAATGCAGCAAGAGATAATGACATTTTTTTTCTATCATTTAGTATTATACCTAATAGGATATTTTAAGCATCAGAAAAAAAAATATGATTTCCTATTGAATTCAACCTGTATGAATAATAAAACGTTTTAAACGATCTTGTAACTGCGGTGGAAACCGACTACAGAGCATATGTAAGCCACCTGTTAATATATAGCCGCGTGTTTCATAACTGTCAGTTTGTATTTCTAAAAGAATTTCGAGAATCTTTTTTCCGTTGGATGGATGTACAAGAATATTTTCATGTATATCTCGTTTCCATCGACATATTATTACATAATGATATATATTTGGACCCCATCGAAGAAGAACACCGCGTCCTTGTAAACCCGTACGACCTATTGGATTAAGTGGAAGACCATCATCTTCTCGTACATCATAATATTGATAGACACTACGACGATCAACAGCACCATCGATTGCATTGAAATGAAGAGAAATCGATGACGATGAGGATTTCAGTAGATCTAATCGAAATGAAAAATACAAAACAAAACAAAACAAAAAAGAATTCTTCATTCTACTCATACCAGGATCTGCACCCGGATTGACATAGATTTCTTCGCCAGTAAATATCGTCGGTTTGTATTGTGGCCATTCATAAGACCATGGCACTTGACTATCATTAACTAATATTCGTAATACATTTTTATACATTGGATAAGGACTTGTTCGAGTTCGATGATGAATTCGTTGTTTTTCATTAATATCATCATCATCCGCATTATATAATATATGATGAGGTAATAATCGATTATTCTTTTGTTGAATCACAGATGGGATTGTGTTTGGATGATTTTGCCAATGATTCATTATCTTTTGCGATGTTAGAGAATGTTCACTTTGAATAAGACGAGCTGGATTATTATTTACATTGATATCTCTAGTAGTTATGTTTGAATGGAACGGGTTTAGTGATCGAGTAGACATAGCTGTTACACAAGCTTGTAAAACAGTATCACGGATGATATCCAAAGATTGTTGCATAAAACCTTTAAACCATTCTACATGATTTTCACAAATATTTTGAATGCTAACAGAGTTTTTGTCGATAAATTCTAAGACAAAATAGTAATTTAAAGCAAATCAAATGTGAGGATTTTTTGTTTGTTTAGAATATTTAGACAAATTTCATTGAAGATTCTTTTTTTACTGCTATTATTAATTGATACTATTCACTCAAATGTAACTTTGTTATATTGACTTTATTAGTATTTATCTACAAAATCAATGATTTAACTAGAAGCTTTTAACAGATAATCTTGTTAAAACCCTAAATAAAATCTTTTGAGAAAAACTGAGAAGTTGATATGAAAGTTTTCTTTTAGATAACTTATATTTTAGAAAGACCCATATCTTTATTTTTGTCCTTGTTAAAGTCTATTTCTACCTTTTCTCGTTTGTAAATGTCTTTGAGTATGCTGTGAATCATTTGATTCTGATAAAGGTATCACTTGTTGATTTCGTTGTTTTTTATTCATAATCTCTTGTTCATTGGACAATCGTTGAATTTCTCTAGATGCAGATCTTTTTCGTGAAAAATACCGTTGAAACGATGATGACGAATTCATATTATTATCATATGTTGTTGCAAGTTTTTGTACAATAGATTCATTAAATTTAATTTGAATGGTAGACTCAGATTTTAAATCATCTTCAGGATTTTGTTCGATCAAATGATTTTTTATTGAACTCATATTTTATGTTTTTATTTAATCATATTGAAATTATTTGGAAAAAAAACGATGCAATGAGAAAGTAAAAATCTTCAACAAGATATTGTCAAGGTGATTCTTTGTTTTTTGGTTATTAGATAAGAAAACTAGGTCGCGCACTTTATCATTTACATTTTTAAGAGAAAAAAATAGGCAATTTCAGCACATATCGCTATTGTCTACCACAAAGATGCAAGCAGTATCTGTGTCTATTTTGATCTATTTTGCTTTGCTTATTGCAAATTGTTGTGGCTCGGCTGATGTTCATGTTAACAGTACCTTTATTCTGGATTCATCAAACCGTGTACGAATTTATCATGGTGCTAATTTTGTAGTCAAACAATTTCCTTGGTACCCACCGGAACTATTAGACCCAAATTATGTTGCGGAACTATCAAAATCGGGTTTAAACGTTATTCGACTTGGGTATAAATTTGTATTTTGATAAAGTTTGATGAATTCATTGATTTATTTTTAGAATGATGTGGTCTGGTGTTGAACCTCAGCCACAAAAATATAATATGACTTATTTAAATACAATGAAAAAAATTATTGCACTACTTGAATCAAATAATATATTTGTTTTTCTTGATATGCATCAAGATGTTCTATCGAATCGAACAGGAAGTTATGATGGCATTCCAGCATGGCTATATGATCGATTACCACCACCAGAACATCCATGTCAACTAATTTATTTTAATTTTTTTCTTTGATCGAGATTTCCTATTGTTTTAGATCCTTGGCCACTTCAAACAGCACCTAGTGTTGAAAAGTGGTTTCTTGGGTATGTAAAGACAATTCATTTGAGATTGTCTATATTATTTATTTTTTGAATGTAAGCTATTTCACGGAAGCATGTTCACATGCATTTCAATGTTTATATAATAATACGGCTGGTGCTACTGATGCAATGGGTAATTTTTGGAAATTGGTAGCGTCGACCTATAAACAATATTCTAATCTCCTTGGGTAATGATCTATTCTTGTATATTTGCATTCGATTATCTATTATGTTTTTTTCTTCTTGCATTCAGATATGAACTCATCAATGAACCATGGGCTGGAAATTACATAGCAGATCCTTTATTACTCTTGCCTGGTATTGCCGGAGCTATAAATCTACAGCCATTTTATGATAAATTAGCTAAAGCTATTCGTTCCGTTGATGAAGATACACTTATTTTTTATGAACCTGTAACTTGGGGTGGTATGTAATAGTATGAAATGATTGGATCCTTTGAGTCAGTTTCTTAAATGTACTTTTCAGTTCGATTGAATGGTAAATATTTTGGTAGTGGATTTACTCATGTACCTGGTGGTAATGATTATCGCAATCGAAGTGTTTTTTCCTATCATTATTATTGTACGATTTTATCGCTTGAACCCGTACCAGGCAATACTTCAATACCAGTTTTTGATCGAGTACTTTGCGATGATATTGAAGGCCCAGCACTTTTCAGTTCAGTTCAAATTGATCTTGAACAATTAGGCGGTTCAGCATTTTTAACTGAATTCGGTGCATGTGATGATGATTTTCCGACATGTGATGATCAAATCAATTGGAGTTTACAATCTGCTGATGCATTTTTACAATCATGGACATATTGGGGAGAGTTTTTCAATGATCCCGTAAAATTCAAAAGTTTATCACGCGTCTATGCACGTGCTATTGCAGGTAGACCATTAACGATGGGATACATCGCTTCCGAAAAACATTTTTATCTATCTTATGTAATTGATAAAAGTATCAAAGAACCTACTGAAATCTTTATACCATCTGTACAATTTCCAAAAGGAAATTATGATGTTACTGTGTCTGAGGAATTAAAATGGCGAGTTGATTCAAAAGATCCAAGTGTCATTCTGGTTGAACCTAGTGATGGAATTATGAACAATCAAGATAAAAATATTATAGGCTCTATCTCTATTTTTCCGAAAAATTAAATTGTCATGCATTTTTTTCCAGAAATTTTAATGATTTTTCTAAAATAATGAATTTAATAAATATCGATGCTAGAAAAACAAAACAAGTTAATTTAGAACTAGATGGTATTCGAGTTTCACTCGTATACGAAATGCGGTGCGAAGTAGGAATGGGCCATTAATATTAATTTAATATTAATGTCAATGTTCTTGAATGATATTAACGGTTAACGGAAACATTCACCATTAGTATTAATAGTAATGTTTTCGTTAATATTCGGCATTATATTTTCATTAATCATTAATATTAATGGTTAATGTTTTCATGAAAGCATTAACTTTCCATATTAAGTAATTAGCACTTTCGGAGAAAACATTAACTATTAAGACCAGTTAATTGATTAATAATAGTAGATAATGTTTCTTTAGAAAAATCTAATTCACTAATATGAAAAAACTAATGTTTTCATGAAAACATTAACATTAATATTAATGATTAATGAAAACATTAATTCTACAATTAATGTTAATGTTTTTCATTAATATTAATGGCTAATGGAAATCATTAATTAATTTCCGTTAAAAAAAATGGTCCACCCCTAGAGGGCACTGAATGTCCGATGAAAGATGGGATCAAATATATCAACAGTTAGATTCCGATACATTTACAATGCGTTGGAACGTGTTACTTGTGATTTTCTGGTCTTGAGATCATCATGACAGAAAATGACCTGATATGATGTGCGCGTATAGTTCCAAAGAAAAAGAAACAAAAAATTGGTCTTCGCTTCACTACTTTCATTTCTTAGTGGAAATGACTTCGCTGTTTATGTATAAGAATTTAAAACGAAAAGTTTCTACTGAGCAGCTGATCGAAATTTCAAATACTACTTAAGTAACCACTAACAAATGCATCACTGTGAAAACTCCATATATGTCTAACAATATGTTTTTCAAGAACGATTTCGATTGAACATTTACTTGTCTCAATGATTCAATATCTATTATCAGCTGTGAGCGAATACACTAGTGGCTAGCATTTGTTGATGACGTCATTTTAATCATCTCGAATATTGAAAACGACAAATTCCTTTCATTTTCGTCATTTTGGAACCACATTTGTGAGCGGACGGAATTTCAGATTGATGATCCGAAAAAAAGATGTAAGAAGTTCGATCTGAATACGTTTATCTCCCGTTTCAATGAGTGTTCTACGATTTTCGGTAGTCGATATCATCGGGTCACAAAATCATGAAAAAGACGCTTACGTCGAGAAAGCAAAAGCAAAAGCAAACACGCGACGAACCACATAAATGCTGTGCTTCGCACCGCATTAATAAACGTGTTTGTATTAAGATGAATACATAAAGAGAAAAAAAATAGCGCAATCATCTTTTCGTTTTATATAACTCTGATTTCGAAACGATGTGGATGTTATTAAAATATGACTGTAATTCAAATTTATTTGAAAACATAAAATTAAACGTCACTAATGAATCAGGATAATTTCAATTCATCGTACGATTTTAATTTCAACAATAATCATAATTCTCACGTGATTGTCACATCTCAACCCATGGCTAAATATAATTGTACTTGTTTTCATAGACGTATTATATTGAGTTCAATATTACAAATCGTTAAAAATATTTTTCTCTTCATTTTAGATCATAATTGCAAGTATTCTAAGACAGATCAACCATACTCTACATTTAATAAACATTCTTCTTTCAAAGCGAAACAAATATCTTGTAATCATGTTTCATATCGAGTTACAGTACGAAGAATTACTGCACCGCATATTGCTGCAGCTGCAATTGCTGCTTATCGAAAGAATCAAAATACGAAGTGTAATAGAAATCATTTTGAACAATTTAATCCAATCGCAACAACAAATCATAATAAATTTATTCCATCAATACCGTTTAAAAAAATAATAAGAAAAAATGACGGTCTGAAAACGAGTAGTACTAGCATCATTATCACAGCTAATAATCAAGTAATACTTTTATAGATGTATTTCAAATTTTCACGGATATATCTATGATTACTCTTTTTAGCAAAAGTTTATTAGTGATATTATATCCAAGAGAAATTGTTAAGATTATACATGTGAACTTTAATTGTTCAATGAATCATTATCTTCTATAATGTAATTAGATTTAACAGCTGTTCATAGGTTTGTTTAATGCGAACTTAATTCACCATCGTACTCAAAACGATATTAACTTTCCATTAAATAGCAATTAATAAAAGTCAAAACGTCGTTAGAAAAACAGTATGTCTAATAGCAGTCATATCCTATAATATAGTCTGATTATTCAACTCTCACATTATGCTGATATAAATTACATTTGATTGAAATAGTAGAATATAATCGATTAGATGTAGAAAAAAAACACATCATTTTTATTCCTAAAAAAATGTATTGGGCACGAAAACATTTTCTTTTAGCTCTACGTGATGACATCTCAAATAAAAATATCAATAATATTACATTAGTTTTTGATGCATATGCCACGCCCAATAATCTTTATTTGCATGATAGATAATATCAAGCCCAATAAAGCATTTCTCTATTCATATTAATCCGTACGATGATTCATTTAAGAAACGCCTATTACATACTATGACGTATGAATCAATTATTACGTATTGATTTCATATTAATACAATTACTAAAGAAAAACATATTTGTTTCATACCCTTGTCTTTTCATTTATTTTTGTCTAAAGTTATACTAATATGATTAAATAGAAAGAGTAACTATTCTTTATAATGAAAAGTTATTACAATGTCTGCTGTTAAAGAGGACAACCGATTTAACTAGAATGAAAAATAAATATATTGGATTTTTATGGTAGCACGCACGCACGCACACACAGACACACACACACGGATATTTGCTCCACTTCCTCTTTCCAAATCGAAGTTTATTCAAGTTGTTTAAGCTTTTGGTTTATCATCAGCAGCTGCTTTTTTCTCAGCAGCTGCTTTTTCCCGTTCAGCTATTAAAGCCATAAGACCATCGGTTGAGAATGATTTAGGTCGTTCTAATGGAAATCCTAATGCTCGTGACCAGATCATTTGCGCAAGAACACCAAGAGCACGTGAAACGCCAAACAAAACGGTATAGAAATTCATTTCTTTCATGCCATAAAACTAATACGACAAAGACAAAAACATCATAAATTATATCGAAACAAAAAATTAACTTACTTGAAGAAGAACGCCTGAGTGGGCGTCAACATTTGGCCATGGATTTCTAATTTTACCAATATCACCAAGAATTGGTGGTACAACTTTATAGAGTTGTGATACAATCTTAAACATACTGTCATTTGGTAAATGTTTAAGAGCAAATTCACGTTGACATGTATAACGTGGATCAGTTTTACGTAAAACAGCATGTCCAAAGCCAGGTACAACACTTGTTTTAAGTGTATCAAGAACATATTGTTTAATTTGTTCATCAGTTGGAGTTTTACCAATCTTTTCAACTAATTTTGTTATCCAAATTAAAACTTCTTGATTAGCAAGACCGTGAAGAGGTCCAGCAAGACCATTCATAGCCGCAGCCACTGATAGATATGGATCAGAAAGAGCACTACCAACTAGATGACTTGTATGTGCGCTAACATTGCCACCTTCATGATCACTAAATTTAAAAATATTAATTATTTTTATTTACAAAAATCAGTCGATTTATTTACCTATGAATTGTTAAATAGAGTCGAAGTAAATCAACGAAGTATTTATTATCATAACCTAGCATAGTTGAAAAATTCCATGACCAATCTTTTTTTGGGTCAATAGCACCAACAGCAGTTCCATCGCGATATAAATTTCGATAGATAATAGCAGCAATTGTTGGTAATTTAGCAATTAAATCCATTGAATCTTCATAAATATACTAGAAAAACATAAAAATGAGAATATAATTTTGAAACCAAAACTAAAAAGACATAAGAGACTAACCTCCCAATATCTAGGTTTCGGTACACTATCCGAATAAGCTTTCGCGAATTTTGAATTCAGATTAAGAACAGTAATAGCAGCACTAAATTGTGACATGGGATGAAGTTGTGCTGGGAAATTATTTAGCATTGTTACAACATGTTGAGGAATATCAGCACGATTATTCCATTCGCGTGTAACCCAATCAACCTTTAAAATAGAAAAACAAATAGGAAAAATAAATTTTTCTTGATAGGGTTTATATAGATAATTACTTGTTCTTGTGTGGGTATTTGTGATGTAGCTAATAGCCAAAAGAGACCTTCGGGTAATGGTTCTTCGCCACCTTTAGCTCTCGGCAATTCAGCTTGACATTCTTCAATTGTTTTACCACGAAAACGAATACCTTCGTTTGCATCCAGTAATGATGTCTCGTAAACAAGACCGTTAATATCACGCATGCCGCCATAAATCTGATGAGTGGATCATGAAAAAAACAATATTTCAAGGAAGAAATATTTTGTCAATTTTACCATATCAACTGTAACCTGGCCGATTGGTGTATTGTTATGTTCTTTCTTGAATGCAGCAACCCGTTCTTGTTCCTTTGGAATCAATTCGCGTAAAACTTCCTTCAAATCCTACACAAAAGAAATAATAAAGACATTCTTTAGTAAAATAATTTAACAAGGTGAAATACACATACGGTCGTTTGAGTCGATGCGGAGCATTTCAATTGGAAACCGATAAGAGTATTCTATAAAAAAATATAAAAAAATACAATTGGAATTCACGTACATATGATTGGAATACCGTTCGAAGTGTTGAATTGATCAGACGAACAAGTGATCGACTAGCAAGTGGCATTTTGTTCTTGTTTTGTTAAAGCGTAAAATATGTTTGTACTTTTATGAATAGAAATCCAAACGAACTGAGTAAAATGAATGCATTCAAATTTCTGTAAACATATATAGTCCAGAGAATACTTTATCCAATGAAATGCTAGAATTGACGTCATACACAAATATCGTCAGCAAACGAGTGTTACAATGGTAGTTCGCGACATCTGGTCAAATATTATGATTTACACATATGACTTAGTTCTCATTTTATACGCGTACTTAAGGCTAATATTGATTTGCTTTTAGTTTTTACTTTGATCCATAGCGCATCAATATATTTGTCGCTATGAAAGACGTGTAATTATATACTATGAGAAATTTTTTGTTTTCAAGATCAAAAGTTTCCTATAATGAAATAGCCAGCCTTTTAAAGCACATGCTTTGGACTTTCGTCAGCTTTATATCTATCTTTTGAATCATATCTCGTTGACATATATTCATCGACAATAATATGGAAATTTGACATTTACGATGCGATATTCTCGTAAGAATAATGATTGGATTGTTAGAAAAATGTAAAATATGAGCAGCCCACGTGTTTCGTTACGATGAAACTGTGACGCAGTTACGGCGTAACAGCGGAAAATTGCGACGCAACTACGATGAAAAAATCGCAATTACGGATACTTATGGTGAAAAAATCCCAGTTACGCATAACTGCGTCCAAGTTTTTCGCAATTATGAGTCACAGTGTTGTCACAATTGGTACAAAAACTGACATAGATTAGGTTTTCATTTTATTTGTACTTTATTGTGAATTCAAAATATTTTTGCGCAAAATAAAAAACTTAAAACTATAAAATTAAAATTTTAAAAAAAATTTTAAAAAAATTAAAAATTAAAAATTTTCACAATAAAAACTAACTGAAAAGTTAAAACCTAAAAAAATTTCAAAATTTACTACCCAGGTCAATTAAAACGGACCATCGTAAACCGGCGTAACATTATCGTATTCTATAGAACATACGGCCGTATTACTGCCCCTGTTATACTGGGAAAATACGGCACGTAAAACGGGCCGTATTTGTATCGTATACGAGCGTTTACTGATCATTTTCTTCGACCGTGGGTAACTATCTAATAATTGGTGCCGTGACCCTTCGTGATACATTTCGACCACAATTCGTCGAACACGATAAGATTTTTTTTCCCTCGATTCGTTTTTTCTCTCTCTCTATTCCTCGTCCTGTCCAATGTTCTTTTTGTTCTTCTCCCGATGTTATATCAAGATTAATGTTAATCTTTACATTCGTTATCCTCAACTTATTGTTCTTATCAGTGCTCATGTTATGATCCTATTGCTTCCTCGTACTTTATTTGAAACATACACGTTTATTGGTGATAATCCAGTCTCCTTATAAATTATTTCAACACGCTTATTACAACTTACCAAGAGTATTATTATTAACTATGGACGAACAAAGCATGCAGGTTTTCGCCCAAGAACAAATAATGAAACTTAGTACGTTTGGTGGTGCTCGTGATGAAAATGTTCTACACTGGTTACAAGATACTGAATGTATATTTGGTCAAGTACAATTACAACCATCGAATAAATATTTGGCTGTTCAATCTTATTTGGCCGATGCTCCTCTTAAATGGTTTCGTTTTAACAAATCGAGCATTCCTGATTGGTCTTCATTTAAGATTGCTATCGTTCAAGCTTATCAGCCATCATGTAATTCAACATTTTTAAATTTAAACAACAACAACCCACTGTCCATCACCATAAGTTTGCATCAGCTATTGATCCAAGTGGATCAAATTCAAATGAACGTCTCCTACCATCCCCGGAAATTGAAACATCAACAACTCCTGAACCAGTAATAAATGATGATCAACCTCTCACTGCTGTCGCTGTGCATGAACCATCATCGCCTTATCAATTAGTAAAACAAAATTTAACTGAAAACTCAATCGTTGCTGATATTCCTAATATTTCCACCTCAGATCCTCAATCATCATTTTTATATACAGTAGCACTTGATGATCCTATTACATGTGAAGATGAATTACAAGCAATACCAAATGATCAAGTTAATTTATATTCGTCGAATGATCTTGGTGTAGTTCATCGTGTACTTAATCCTGTTATGCAATTAGTTAAAGTTAATGTTCATAAAAATTATAATGATACTAATGTTGATGTATATGTTACTCATACTTTGATTGATCCAAAGATATTAGGAAGTATTGAAACGTAACAGGATTGTTTTAATAGTTTCTATCTCGATTTCATTTACCATGATGAATAGTGTATACGTCTGATCAACATATTTATATTTATTTTGATACGTTGCAAACTGATTATTCTGCTGATTCGGGACATATATCTTTACGTAAAAAGAAGAAAAAAATGTAACACAGAATCTATCACTAGGCAACATGTTTATCCTTTACATTATCGTTTTCTCTATCTTTACTTCTAGGTTGTTAGAACTCATGTTCGTGATCGTTTATAGCTATATTTTTTCTTGTTTTCTCTTGTTTATGTGTTACTATTCGTTTATTAGTTTCTATTTCGTATCTTGTGTTTGTTTTCTCGTGAACAGATGAAGCTGTTCACTGGCAAAGGGTGGAGGTGTTAGGTAGTGGTGCTATCTGCGAACACTACATTTCTCTTTGTTCTCATATCTATCTATTGGTCAAGAAGTGAAGTCGGATTGGAAGAAGTTGTGATTGAAGTGATTCTAGTTGAAGTCGGTTTGAAGAAATAAAGAGTTGGGTAAACGTAACTATCTAACAATTGGTGCCGTGACCCTTCGTGATACATTTCGACCACAATTCGTCGAACACGAGAAGATTTCCCCCTCGATTCGGTTTTTTCTCTATTCGTCCTGTCCAGTATTCTTTTTTTTTCTCTCAGTGTTATATCAAGATTAATGTTAATCTTTACACTCGTTATCCTCAACTTATTGTTCTTATCAGTTCTCATGCTATGATCCTATTGCTTCCTCGT